CGGCTCCGAGGGGCACGCAGAGAGGTGAGCTGCGCTGTTCCCTGTGCTGTGACGGTGTTGGCCCCGAGCTGGATTGCTCCTGGGAGCCTGGACATCAGCATCTCCTTTTGGGAGCTGGGAAGGACTATGGGAACGGTGTGCCTACTGCTCCTTGCTCTGGTTTTTCCTCTGTGGGGTGTGCAGCAGCCTGGCAAAGCAGAGGAGCGTCGAAGGTTAATCCAACTGCCCCTGGGAAAGAAGAACCCAAATTTATGATTTCCTCTTCTGATCTTTACTCCCAGCTTTGCAATAGCTCAAGGCTGGATTTGTGCCGTAGTCGCAGAGCAGGGATGTTCCCTCTTTTCTTCCCCATTGTGGATTCTACTGTTCTGCTGTCCCTTCCCCAAGCGCTGGCCTTATCTGCCCCTGCATCTGGTGAGTGTTGCTGCCTGGCCTGGCCTCGCCCCGCTGAATAACAGTGCTGTCTGTCTCTCTGTCTGTCTGACTCGGCAGGATTGGGAGGTTCTAGTCCTGGAGAAGCTAAAGTGGGACCTGGTCTCAGTGATAGCGAATGATTTCTTGGCTCACATCCTCCATCACCTCCCGCTGCCAAAGGACAAGATGGAGCTGGTGAAGAAACACGCACAGACCTTTATCGCCCTGTGTGCCACAGGTGGGTGCCTGCTCCCGCTGGAGCCACCCGTCGGGACGCTGGGGAGGGTGGGCTGGCCACTGCGGATGAGGGTAGCCAGGGCTTCAGTGAGACTTGGTGGGCAACCTGGGGCTGGTCTCCAATGCCCGGGCTTTCTGGGGAGCTGAATGCCTGACTCCACTCAAATCAGAGCGTTTTGCTGCTCAGTGATACGGTTTTTATCCCTGACAGAGTGGGATCACGGTCCTGGGGGCTCTTAGTGGGTGCCTGGAAGGTGCCAGGAAGGTGCCTGGAAGCAGGAAAGCTGCCGTGCCAGCCCTCTTGCTGCGCAGGCCGTGACTGCGGGAGGGCGGCCGGGGAAAAGGCAGGGTTGAATCTGAGCTTCTCTCGGCCTCGCGCTAAGTCACTAGAGCGACCTCCTCTTCAGGCCTTCTGGTGAGCCAGACCCAGAGGAACAGCTCAGGGAAGTTTGCTGCTCTGGTGCTTGGCCCGTTTCCCGTTGCTTCACTCCCATTTCTCCCCGCTAAGCTGGAGAGAACCCCCCCTGCCTGGTCCTCTCCAGGGAGATCTCAGTCCCAGGAACTTACTGCACACGCCCTTGCTAACGGCTCTTCTTTCTGCCCCTTGTGTCCCCATCCTGACTCTAGACTACACTTTTGCCATGTACCCCCCCTCCATGATCGCGACAGGCAGTATCGGGGCAGCGATCCACGGCCTGACGGTCTCCGTGAACGATTTCACCGGCGAGGCGATCACCGAGCTGCTGGCCAGCATCACCGGCACGGAGGTGGTGAGTGTTCACGGGGGAAGAGCAAAGCGGTTTTGCTGCTGGATCTGGTGGAAACCCTTCCTCTTTCTGCTGCTGGTTTGTCTTAGAGGGAGGGGAACTCGGGCTGTTCATAGTGATGCTGACCATGGTTTGAGGGGCGCCTAGAGATTGTCACGGTCCGCTCCGTGGACTCGTGATGGTTCGTTTGCTGCGATCTCGAGGTGCAAAATTAAGGTGACCACACCAAAGGGGTTTGCTACAGTCCAACAGCGAGACAGGAGTCCATGTTCCTGATGACAAGGTTGAGACAATGCTGGGTTTCGGACCGACTCTGACAGAGGTGAGCCAGCACCTCTCAAGGCAGCAGCCTTCGTCAGTCCCGCGGCTGCAGCCGGCTCCTGGCCACCCAGCGCCACCGGTGGAGAGCGGGCCGAGCTCGGGAGCCTTTGAAAAGCAGCACAAAAGGGAGCGTCTGTTCCCCGCGCGGGGGCAGGTGTCGGTGGGATCAGGTTGACGGGGTGGGATGGGGCAGAAGGAGAAGCCGGGCTCGGCATCTGCTAATGCCAACCCGCCCCCCGGTGTCTGGTTGCAGGTGCCCAGACCCGGGTGGGAAGGGGGTCGGGGGCTCGAAGCGTTTCAAGGTGCTGGCACAGCGGCTTTGCTGGGGACGTGGGGATGGTGGGGGGTGTCTGCCTGCCCCCCGGCCTTTGGATAGGGAAGGGGGACGCTGCGAGGGTCCCTGTTTCCAGGTTCCTTCTGCTGCAGTAAAGTAATCGGGAGCTTTTCTTCTGCCAGGGGCCCCTTTTGATCCTTTCTTCTGCCCCGAGCGCTAACGCCGGCAGCCGGGCGCGGGGTTGGTTACAGTCCCCTGACGGCAGCGCCGGGGGTTGGAAGAGGTGCTGGTGCTTTGTCCAGGCAGGGCGGGGATGGGGCAGGAGGGCATGCTGCTCTATTCTCTTGTTTTTTTTTTTTTTTTTTTTGTTGTTTGTTTGTTTGCTGGAGCCTTTTTAACGAGAGAATCGGTGCAGCCAGCTGCTCTCAAGCTGCTGTCGTGAATGGGGCAGGGACTGAAACCTGCTTGGGGTCGGGGCTGGTGGAGGGAACAGGTGGGAAGCAGGGAGGGCACCGCCGAGGGAGGGGAGCCGAAACGGAGCCCGGCACACCTCTGCCACCCTCCCTCCTCAGCCCGGAGAGGGCGTTGATTCTGCCCCGCAGCCTGCCTGGGTGTGAGGTGCTGCACAAGCAGCCCCGGCCCAGGCAGGACCCCGGCAGCTCCTGCAGGAGAAGGAAACCCTGGGGATGCATCCGCAGCGTTGCGGGGCTCCTGGGGGAAGCACCCGGCCTCAACTGCGTTCGTGTTGCTGATGCTTCTCCCAGAACCTCACAGTGCCCCTGGGCCGTGACTCAGTTTCCCCTTTGGCTCCACGCTGGAGGAGCAGCCCCCTTCTTTTCCCGCAGCTGCTGAGGCTCAGCTGGGCGGTGCTGGAGGTGCGAGGAGCCCGCGGGGACGGAGGGGGACAATGGCACGGGGCTGTGCTGGCCCCGTGGCCAGCGGGAGCTGCGCTGCCGCGCTGAGGCTGGCTTGTTGTGGGTGGGGGGCGTGCG